AATAAAGCATATTTTTTGTGGTTTCTATAAAACATGTTCGCACTCAATTGCGCATTTATCCTGCATCGGTGGATACCACTTCTATGGGGACCTTAATACCATTCGAAATTCGGAAACAATTCATCCCTAATTACTGCATAATAGCTCATTGGCTGCAAAATAACTTGATATTTTAGACTTTAGATAAAAGAGGAGAGCCCATGTGTTCTCGTTGCTGTAAATGGTTACCAGAAGCATTTAAAGCGCCTTGTTCTTTGTGTGGATTTAACGTGGACAACAATACCTGGCCTGTGAAAATATTTATGCCATATCATAAACCTAGCTCTGCCCTGGAAATCCTTACTCATTTCCTTTCCACACACCTATATTGTTTAAAGTACGTTTTTTTTCATTAAGTTTTACTGTTATCTTCTCATCGGCCAAGCGATGTGTGTCCCAATTAATGGTCTTATCGATTTCGTATTGACTTTTGTTCAAATTTAACCTGCTGTGCATCTACTACTCGTTACCCATGTCATGAAGCCTCACCTGTTCGACCGTCACCAACCACGATATTAAGCATGTGCCCCACAACATGATGGACGCAGGACTGGTGAAATAAGAGTGACTTAGTTGATATAGGTGGAGGACTTTCGGCGCGTCTGGTGCACTCTCACACCCCTTACCCACCCTGATGCGGAGGGAGGACAGAGTCTTGATGACAGGAAGTGAGGTCAAGCGCGATGACTGACAGAGCTGCAAGGCAGTTCGACCGTCGATCCCGACGATGTTCACCGAGTGCTGCACAGTAAGGTGCAGCAGGCACGGTGACTTGCGCGTGAGTTAGTTTATAGTGATGGTAGACTTGCGCAGCATCTACCGCACTCTCTCTCTCTCTACCCCACTCCCCAGCTGGATCCGGCGTCAAGACAGAGTCAAGTAGACCGAGGCGGGGGGAGGCGCAGGTGACTGTCACGGCCGGACTCGCACCTAGGCGAGCCATCTCACCCCCATACATACACATGACGGACAACAACACCCCAACAGCGGTCAAAAGGACGAGAATGATGACTGGGCAGTCATGCCCACCACCTGTATACTCAGCGGGAACGCAACCGCTCCTACCGGCAAGGAACCAGCACATACCAGGCTGCGAGGACCATGGTTTGCCGCTACTAGCATAGCACACGCTGTCAGACCTTTTGACCGGAGCTACATAATCCGTCTACGTGTGTTACATGCTTGGTCCGTGCAAGATGGAACATTTGAAGAAGAAGAAGAAGGGCCTTCCAGAACAGGTTTACTTAAATGCTGACGTTTTAAAAAGCTTGGTTGGCTTTCCATTGTTAAAGTGTAAAATGCACTTAACCAATCAGAAATTTTAGGTGGCATTTTGTGTTGGTCGGCCTCATGCTGATCGATTTTTCTCTCCCTTCGCTGCTTCGGCCTCTCGGGAGATGGTTGACGGGCGTTTTGCCTGAGTGCTTTGTGAGTCACCACTCCGTCGAGGGGAACTGATTGAACCTTTGTCGGGCGGTCGCTCTGGCGGTTCTTGTTCTTCATTACCGAGTAAACTTACCGCCAGGCTATCTCCGTGCGGCCTTCTTAAGTCCGGTGTGGTTGTTTGGTCCTGAGCTCTACGACTGTGATGACGTAGGACTTTGTAAGCTGCAGGAAGGTCCCGATGCCTGTTGACAGAGTGGGCATCGGAGAATCACGTCTCGAGAGTTAGCCGTCCTGCTTTTGTGTTGTTTCGGCCTAAGCTGGCAGCCCTCTGGAGATCAAAAGTATGCCCAGTTTCTCCAACGTGTGTTGCTAGTTGAGAGTTAGGGTCTAACATCCGAGTGGCCGATTTGTGCTCTTGTAGGCGAGTTTGCAATTTCCGCCCGGTTTCTCCCACATAGTTGCAGTCGCTCTCATTGCAATCTATTTTGTAGATGACTGCAAAGAAACAAGACGTGGCTGGTACTGATCCCATCTGAGTGGGAATGTCAAAGAGGAGGAGCATGTTATCCCGTCAGTTGGCAGTCATCCAAGTCGCGGCTTTTCATTCACCATCAAAGCGCGTTTTATTGTTTTTTTGTGCGAGTAAGATGGGCCAAGTGGCGTGGAAACGCAGTCCTCCGCAGTCGAACTAAATTTCAGGCGCCTAGTTCACTTTTCGTGCCGGCCAGCCATCTAATGTGGGGATTTGATGCAAGGTGTATGCTGATATAAACGGCCCTTGTAGTTTTTTAAAACACCCTGGCTAAAGCACGACGGACAGTTTTTCACGCTAAGGAGGTGATTGTTCCTACGTACTGTTTCACCTGAGATGAAACAATAGGAAGCAGTTGAAGGACTGTGGTGAAATTTTCAAATGTCAAAGAATCCTGCTGTTTATGCTTGTTTGAAAGACACGTCAAGTTGGGGAACTGGGTCGCATTTTGCAATTTGAATGGGTTTGAATCTCAGTAGTTTTACGTGGATAAATACACGCATGCTTTAAACGACTATGCTTTATTATCAAAAAGATTTTTGATCTCAATTATACAATTTTCATTAAGGATAGGAAGAAACTGGCTCCAGCATGGTACATAGCAGGCCTAAGCGGTTAACTTGGTTTTTGACCATTAGTATTTTAAAACCCTATTTTTACCAATAAGATTTATGATTTACGGCCTAATTAGCTAGAACAACAAAGTTACCAAGTAATTATAAAAAATGATGATTTTTTGAGCAGTATATCAAACTCAGTTACGAACACATTCATGAGTCCGTGGATATTCGACTGTTTACATGTTTTCTAAATTACGCCTAATTTTAAGTGTAATATGCACTGTAACGAAGAGTGAGTCCGCTAAAGAGTGACTGTTCGCTGTAATGTTTAGATATTCTCTTTGATGTTCACTTAACGAAATGTTTTGGAAGATGACAATAAAATCTTTCAGTGGGTTATTTCGGGGAATACATGTTGGGTTTCTAGTCTACAATCACCTAAAACAATTCTCTCATGCCTTAGGAGGTATAAGCGTGAAGTTTTTCCTAGGCCGGAATTGCAGTTAATGCAAACAAATACGAAATGTTAGTGTTTGTTGGAGATATAGGAAACACAACATAGGCCAATGGTGACCTTTTTAAAACGCGCTCAACAGGACTTATTTCATTGAAGAATACTTGCCCCCTTCCACATTAAATCCAACTTAGGGTGAAGGTCTACATTTCCGGAAAGACAAGGAGGGTAGGAGACAGCGCGTACTCGTAACCAAAGCCGGCGCCTTCTAGACTGCGCTCTTGTCCGGTAGTAAGACCTCCACGACGTGGATTTACGTGTCCAACGGTCGGATGAACCACCATCCTGTCGTCTCAACTATGAGACTCCGTCTATAATCTTGCAGGAGAGCATAACGTAGGCAATCACTAGGTAAGGCAAATATCGTTCTGCTGAGTGCTTTTGACGCCCGCCTGAAAGAAATACCGAGACCGTCGGGCCGCGCCGCCATAGAGACGCCATGATACAGACTGAGAAACTGTCACCAATTAATTGTCATAAACGTCCTTGTATCCTCACGCCGCCAACATCTGCATTGGTTTTATGACCATATCGAAGAAAGTTGCAATCTCAGCGGTGAGAGGCGGGATCGAGTCCCAGGTGTTGGCTGTGATTGGATGACGACGGCAAATGAGCCAGAAATGGCCTTTCCGGTCTCCCCTGTCTTTGTCGGTAATGTCATTCTGACTGTATCATGCGCGCTTTGTGGCTGCTGGTTGGGGTCGAGAGAGAGTCCGTAAGGCACAACGGAACGAGTGCGTTCTGTAGAAGCGATCGGTGAGCGTCGCTCTACCAATCTCATATTCGAGAAGAACAGGCCGAGAGTGGCCTACGCCAACAGCGGGACGGACACAAACAAAGTGGCTTTCTTTCGCCGTCGGTAGCTGGTGCGGCTGCTGCAGCTGTGGGAAATGAAAAAACCCGGACTAAGTCATCCAGCTGAAGAGATTTAATGCAATCAAGGCGGTCTACGGCCTCTGCACCAAAAGAGCTGTGGGCACTGCTCGGCTCTCGGAGCAACTTTCCTCGCTGATAATTAGGTAATTATGAAGCGTTGAGTTGGGAATTTCTGTAGCGTCCTCAACCGGCTATCCGCAATATCAAAAGGTTCCCTTAAATGGAACGCACCGCCAAACTCGACTGCTCGCACTTGCTGCATGAGACTGATTAGGCTGTACGGTAGGTGGGCTAACTCATGAAATCTCGACCGAAATCTCGAAATGAGTTCTCGTTTCGAAAAGATTAATTAAGTAGGGTTGTGAAACTGATCATCATACAGCATAATTGTATAATGGTCCAGTTACCTCAGGGTGTCGGCTTTTGAAGGAACTTATTTCCGACTGTATGCAAGAACTATACTCTGCAAAAATGACTACATAAGTACCATGCAATTTTCTCCTTTATTTTCGATGCCCTAAAACACTCAATTATATTTCATGGAAAACATGCATAAAATCATCCATTCTTTTGCTCATTCGGTAGGCAATTACGTTTTATGATAATCTTATACTCGATGGAAGGGAATAATTCAGTATTGAAAAACGTTTCTAATTCCCGAATAATTTTGAGCCCGACCTTCTGTTACACTTGCATTCGGGATTATAAATCTACAAGCCGTATATTTTCCGTGTACGGAAAACCATGCATTTCTCTATGAAATTAAGGAGAGACTCTATAGGTTTCATAAAACTAAGCAGTGGATTTGAGAAATATTGTTGACTTTACAAGGCATATTCGTAAATGCAGATACATGACGTTTTATGAACGGCCATTTCACGGTATTAAGAAATCCCACAATATGAAACTTTTTTAAAACCGAATTATACTCTTTTTCGAGTATAAAATTGGAAGTAGGCGTGCTTTTCTACCGAAAAAGTAAAAGAAGGAATATTTATATGCATGTTTTCCATGAAATATAATTGAATTGTCAATGGCATCGAAAATCAATGAGAAAATCGCATGCTACTCAAGTAGTCATTTTTTGCAGAGTATGGTTCTTGCGTGCAGTCGGAAGGAAGTTCAGTTGAAAGCCTACACCCTGAGGTAACTGGATCATTATAGAATTATGCTGCGTGATGATTAGATTTACAACCATACTTAATTAATCTTTTCGGAACGAGAACGCATTTCGGTTCGAATCCCACCGAGGCGCCGGAGTTTTCGCAGTTGGGTCAATATAAATTTTTTAAAATCTACCAAAACATCTATGAAATATCCTTTTGAAAACAAGCATGTACAGCAGAATTTATTGGGGCCAATAAATTTCGTGACGGCTTTTCAATTGCAGCCCGTCTCTGCATAACATAGGTAACGAATGAATGCGCACAGCAGTATGAATTTGTACAGAATGGCAGTGCATAAGAGCAAGGTCAAAGTTCAAGGCAATGAATAATCAGATAAGACGTCCACATAAGCATCATATAGGCAAGAGGGAGACGAAATGTTAACAACAAATCACAGTCAGGGGAAACTAGAGGTGTGAGATTACCAGGGCAATTGCAGATTGATCACATGATCTAACTGCTTGCACAGGTCTGGTTTCTCCCTCCGTATGTAAGCTGCTTCCAAATAACGCAAGGTTCGAGTTGTATGCGCTCGGACAAGTACTCGAAAAGATGCTTTAGGGTCGACAACTTGACCGCTATCTAACAGGTGTTTCGTTATAGACGAACGGGGGCTTTTGTTTTCCTGTTTGAAAAGCCAATTAGGCAAATGCTCAGCGGCCCTGGTTGCCAATTGCCTTTGCGTTCGCCCAATGTACTTGCATCCGCAAGTGCATGTGAATTCAACACACAATTTGGGGTGGCGTGCATTGGCAAGGCATCCTTTGCCCGGTTAATTGGAAGGCTTTTTGTGGAACTGATGAAGATAAGCTCTGCTGCGTTGTACGTTCTTTCTATAGTGCAACGCAAGCGTCGCTTGATTGTGTTTGAGACGTTGTCACCCTTAAAAGGTAGACATATTATAACGGTCTTCTTCGGAACGGACTGTTCCGTCAACTTTGGCCGTAAATGGTTGCTGTACTTCTGAATGAAGCGTGCAGGAAAACCACAATTATGTAAGGCTTCTTTGATTCGGGCAGTTTCTATATTTATGGATTACGTTTCCATTGTATTGGCGCAAAGCTTTTAAAATGTAAGTATTGCTCTTTCCACGTAATCTTGTGGAAGACGGAGCGTCTTATTGAACCATCATCCTCTCTAAACATGAGGACGTCCAGGAAGGGTAACTTGCTAAACTGCTCCATTTTCATCGTAAATTTGATTTTAGGATGCAGATTATTCATCAGGCAAAGTAAGTCGGAGGCGTCTTCCTTGTTGTCAACAATCGTGAATATATCATCAACGTATCTCCTGTATAATGTTGTCATGTTTAATTCTGATGACACCTTTTCTTCTAGGTAACCCATAAAAACATCGGCGAGGGTTGGCCCGAGTGCACTGCCCATTGCGACTCCGTCAATTTGTCTGTAAAGTTTCCCATTAAACAGAAATTGAACATCTTTGGTGCAAAGTACTAGCAGATTTCGTAGTAGTTCGGGGGATAGTCGGGTTTTGGACGCATGGGCGCATATGATATCTATTGTTTCATCCAATGGTACATTGGTAAATAAGGATTCCACGTCTAAAGAGATTATACCCTTGTCAGCAATGTTCTGGTCCTTAATTTCTTCAATGAAATGAAGACTGTCTTTTATCGTGTAGGTGGAAAACAATTATCGAATTGGTTTTGGCCCCTTGAAAAGCCATTTTGCTAGTCTGTGGGTAGGTTAATGTTCATGAAACATACGTGTATCATGCAAAGGAAGACAAGAGATTCATACCGTTTTAAACTAAGGAAGTGATTGTGCAAAAAGTCTACGGACGACTATTTCCCTCTGAGTACAGATAAAACTATCCTTAATTTGTCTGACATCAAACGTTATAAGCTACAAGCAGAGGCTTTATCACTAGGACTTGACTTTTACATTCCAAACAGGAGATTAAACTCAGTTGAAATTGAGGCTCAGTTTGAAGACTTGAATTCTCAACTTATGACAATGTTATCAAAAGTGTGGTCGGTCTATGGCGATTGTTCCACTACAATCGTAAGGTATGCACAGTGAGCCATTTGCGACTAAGCCGTAGTATGTTATGGCTGAATAAGCCGAAGACGTTCGAATGGTGGCACTCGTCGGACGTAATAACCTCCAGCATGGATGTTAAGCAGTCGTTTGGTCTGCAATGTTCGCTCTCTGACTGCGCCAAAGGAATGCCAGTATGTACGATAACACATATCGGCTGCTGTGCTCGCACTTCAGCAATGGATGCATATCGCGTGCTCTACACTTTATCCACTGCGATCCTATCCCAACTGTCCTAAAGTAAACTGCCATTCGTTGCAAAAGGAAGGTAGGGTCTGAGACGATGGTTTGGCAACTCTCTATAGCTATTGTGTAGGTCTTGGTTTTGTGGTTTGCCGTTTCATGCGATTGAACGCTTGAGTGCTCCCGTACTGTCAATGCCAACGCCCCGAATGTGTCCATGCTTAGCGGCTGTGTATGTGTAGGTTTTGATAATCGAAGTCAGTCAGCATGTGGACTGAAGGTCAGACCGACTTCCGCGGTCGTAATTCGGCAATGGAAACCTATCTCAATGTTGGTAATAGCAGGGATGGTCTACAGCTATCGTTAAGCAAATATGCCGCTATTGATTAAGCTACACACGGACTGGTGCTGTCGCTGGTAACCTCAAGAGTCGTTGCTGGTGATTGGCAAACCCGGATGACAAAACCTACTCAAATAGATAGAGTAGGTATTATTTCTTGGTTGAGAGGATTTTTTAGGTGCCATCTCCCAATGGTTACCTCTACCACCTGGCCCGCTTTAGGGACAAAGAAATACGTTTCAACGATGAGACACAAACTCGCCTCACTGCTGACACCCCCCCCTCCCACCCAAGTTCTCTCAACCTGAGAACCAGGCTATAGTTCCTTCCCTTCATTCGGTATGGTTAGACACCTTCAATCATCTCAGTCTCTCACCATTACCCATTTTATTGTTTGATTTTTACTTTTCTCTGCCTTCAGTGACATACAGTGCGCTGCCAACTTTGACTTCCCTAAGGAACGCATCTGGTTGCACTTGTTCATTCAGCCCTACGGAGAGGTGGTTTCTTCATTCTTGAGATCCTATGCGACAGGACTCTACAATCTCTGTTCCCTCTCTTGGTTATTTCGTTTTTTAAATCGCGTGGCACAATGGGGACCTGTTCTTACGCGCTTCATTAAGGTGGGCAAAAAGTGTCGTGGTTCGCAAAGTATTCTTGGAGGGGAGTTCTTCTGATCTCTCCACTCTAAAGTGAACAGGCATTTTGACAGGTTTGTATTCGTGGATTAAGTGTAGTCATTCGATCCCCGGGTGCTTTAAATAACAACCTCAGAAGTGAAACTCATATAACCACTCCTAAGTAATAGCAGTAACCCTAACCGTAGGCCAGCGTTAAGCCTAACGAGAACGCCTACGATCAACGTAGCTGAAAAGAAGCAGATGCGATCGCCGGAGCAAAAACCTTATTTACCTGACGTTTTGGGTTCGCCCTCCAACCTATCATGCATAGGAAGTCTCAGTATTCATATGATGCGATTGCTGTGTTACTGCATACTTATGGCAGCTAACTCCCCCCTTGTTGTCAGTTACTTAAATTCAATCATCCATGTTGGATGTTGATATGATGATGGCTCAGCCATCACGCTCACCGGATTACGCGCTGCCCAATTGGCCAATTACTCTGCGCAGAGTATGCGATCGGGTACCATGAATCGCAACTCAAGCAGATCGCGGCCCACGCGATTATCACCTCCCGCGAGAATTTCAGCCTCCACGAAGTTGAATACGTGGCCAGGTCTCGTAGGTGTAACTTTAATCCCAACCGTAACGTAAGTACGAAATTAGAGCTCAGTTTAACGCTACCCTGTTCTTTATAGGAAGTGGATATAAGAAATTAACTGCAAACTTGGAGTAGACCGGCATATGCTAAGGTCTTTAGGCGCAGACCGAAATTTGACGTATAAATATTTGGGCCAAAGTCCATCAGCCACCTCGGGATAACTGCCTAATATCCATTAACTGCCAACAGACACTTAGTAGTATGTTCTAATGTTATAAGATACCATACTATTTGAAGACGAAGACAGGCTCTCTGGAAGAGGTTTATTTAAGTGCTGAAGTTTCAAAGAGCTGAATCGGCTTGTGCTGAAGTACTTGACTACTTGACCTTTGACAATCTTGTCACGTTTGTTTTACTGTAGCATTTGTTTTAACGTGACGAATACTCCGCCGCTTATAAGCTTCGCGCCGCTTGCGTGCTCTCTGGTCAGGTCGTTGCGCATTTTGAATATTAACTTTATTCACTTACTGGCCTTCCTTACGTCTCTCCGTTTATGGGGTTAGTAAGACGTAGTTCGTTAGTTCGCGGGAACGACATAACTTACGTCATTGGTGACTCCCGACGTTAGCGCAGACTTAAGTTCTTTCCTTCTGTAACATTTAATGACATTTAACGTCCTGTATTTATTTGCTAAATTTAAGTTCATTTACATTTCCCGCTAACCTTTTCACGATATTTTGCTACCTATATTTTGCTTATTATCTCTTCCTCAACTAAACAACCTGACGTTCCTGCCGAGTCTGTTCATGCCGTTCATGTCACTGCCTGATTTCTGGCAACACGCCCCTGAACTTTATTTTATCCGCATTGAGTCAGCCTTTTACTCCGCCAACATTACGAAGGAGTTGTCGAAATACCACAGACTTGTGGAGGTTCTCCCTGCCAATATTATCTCACAAGTTCAACCCTTGTTAGTGAAACCCCTGCAGACGCTCCCTATTCTGCTCTGAAGGCAGAAATCCTACGTCTCAATGCTGTATCTGACCGACAACGCTACCACCAGTTGATCAAGGAGGAATCACTGGGCGACCGAAAGCCCTCAGAACTTCTCCGACGAATGCGTACTCTCTTAGGAGACATGCAGGTCGACGAGAAACTCGTTAAAGAGATGTTTCTAGAGCAGCTGCCTGCAGATGTCCAAACGATTTCGGCATCCGGCTCGCAAGACCTTACACTTTCACATCTTGCTGAAATGACAGACCGACTGGTGGAGGTTCAACAGTTCCAGCCACCTTCCGTTGCTCAGATTTTTACATCCTCTTCAACGGTTAACGAGCAGTTACTGCAACAGATGTCGGCTATGGCGAATGAGATAGCCTCCCTAAAACTACAGCTTGCTCGCATTACCTGTAGTCGCTCACCCAGCCGTCATCGTTCACGTTCGCGACCTCGCACAGCCAATTTGTCTTGGCATCACGCAAACTTTGTCGCCAAGGATCGCAAATGTTCTTCCCCTTGTTCATTTAAACCGAAACAGGGAAACCAGCCAGCCAGAGAACAGACGCGACCGTTTTCTCTGGCTCTCCCAGCTCTGGTCGCACCTTTTATGTCTGCGGGCGTTTCCTGGTGGACACCGGAGCCCAGATCAGCGTGGTTCTCCCCACTCCAGTTGACCGCCGCTGTCCCAGCCCTGGTCTACATCTCCAGTCTGCAAACTGTTCCCCCATTTCCACTTTTGGTAGTCGTTCGCTAACGCTAAACATTGGTTTAAGTCGATCATTCTCCTGGATATTTGTGATTGCCGATGTGCCTCATGCGATCCTCGGTTCGGACTTCCTAGCCGAGTTTGATCTCCTTGTTGACTGTCGGCGTTCCTGTCTCCTCGACCGCACAACTGGTCTTTCTGTGCGCGGTCTTACACCCTTTAATGACTCCTGCAATTTATCTGTTCTGGACACAGGTATTGCTTGCCCATACCGAGACCTGCTTCTCCAACACCCCAACATATTAAAACCCCAGTTTCGCAGTGGTGACATCCAGCATGACGTTGTCCACCACATTCGCACCTCTGGCCCCCCAGTATTCGCACGGCCTTGACGACTGGCTCCGTCCCGTCTGCAATCGGCGAAGGCCGAATTTGAGCACATGCTGCAACTGGGCATAATTCGGCCGTCCGAGAGTCCATGGGCGTCCCCTCTGCATATGGTGCCCAAGGCGACATTAGACGACTAGCTGCCCTGTGGTGACTATGGCGCCCTCAACAATGCGACCATCCCGGATCGTTATCCCGTCCCTCATCTTCAAGATTTTGCTGGAGCTCTTTTCGGCAAATCGATTTTCTCGAAGGTTGACCTTGCTCGGGCCTTCCATCACCATTCGGCCTGTTCGAATTTATTCGCATGCCATTTGGTCTTCGCAATGCTGCCCAAACATTTCAGATGTTCATTGACCGAGTCCTACGTGGTCTCCCGTTTGTGTACGCCTACATCGATGACCTCTTGGTGGCCAGTCGAAATGCCGAGGAACACAATGTGCATCTTGCCTTAGTGTTTGACCGCCTCGATCAGTTTGGCGTGGTCATTAACCCTTCGAAGTGTGTTCTGGGTGTGCCGTCCCTTGAGTTTCTTGGTCACCATGTCGATGCACAAGGTTTGCGTCCCCTCTCTTCCAAGGTTGAGGCCATTCGTGACTTTCCTCCACCAACCTCCAAGCGTCAGTTGTAACGTTTCCTTGGCATGGTAAACTTTTATCGCCGGTTCCTACCGAAGTGTGCCGACCTTATGCTGCCACTCACCAACTTGCCCTCTGGTCCCAAGGGTCCCCTTGAGTTACGTGGCCACGCGCTGACTGCTTTTGAGAGAATTAAGACCTCCCTTGCTGATGCTACCTTGCTCACTCATCCTGCTCCAGAGGCCCCATTGTCCCTGACGGTTGATGCTTCGACCGTTGCCGTAGGAGCAGTCCTCCAACAGCATATCAACGACTCGACACGACCGTTGACATTCTTCTCCAAGAAGCTTTCATCTGCCGAGACGAGATATAGCACGTTTGGCCGTGAACTTCTTGCCATTTACCTAGCCGTAAAACATTTCCGACACTTCCTTGAGGGTCGTGACTTCACAATTTTCACAGACCACAAACCACTTACATTTGCCACCCGGTCCCACTCTGACAAGTATAACCCGAGAGAGATTTCTCATTTGGATTACATCTCGCAATTCACCACTCACATCCGCCACATTGATGGCCCGAAGAATGCGGTGGCGGACATGCTGTCCAGACCTTCCCTCTCGGCGTTTCACCTCTCACACGGGATTGATCTTGGTGCTATGGCGACTGAACAACGACGTGTTGGATGTCCTGGCGACGAGTCTGTTGACAGTCTTCAATTATTTGACATCCCATTGACCACCGGCACTGGCACAATCCTTTGTGACGTATCGACTCCTATTCAACGCCCTTATGTGCCTGCCTCGATGCGTCGAGCTGTTTTTAAAACTCTCCACGGACTCTCCCATCCTGGGATTCGAGCCTCACAGAAGCTCCTCGCGGAAAGGTTCGTATGGCCTGGGTTGAACAAGGATGTGAAAGCTTGGACACGATCGTGCCTTTGCTGTCAACGTAACAAGGTTCAACGCCAGAACAAGTCTCCATCGGGCACGTTACCCAGCTCCGATGCACGGTTCAACCATGTTCATTTAGATGTCGTAGGTCCTTTACCTCCATCCAATGGCTATACTCACCTTCGCACCTGCGTTGATCGCTATACCCGTTGGCCGAAAGCCATTCCTTTACCGAATGTGCAAGCGGAGACCATTGTGAAAGCCTTCGTCAGTCGTTGGGTCGCCATATTCGGTGCGCCATCCATGATTACGACTGTTCGAGGCGCGCAGTTTGAGTGCACACTTTTCCAAACTCTCCTCAACTTCCTCAACCGTATTCGGACGACGGCCTACCACCCAGCTGCCAACGGCATGGTTGAGCGTTTCCACCGCCAGCTAAAAACTGCACTGCGTGCCGCAGAAGATCCCGAAAACTGGTCAGGCAATGTACCCGTTGCACTTCTTGGCATTCGTGCGGCACTGAAGTCAGACTTGGACTGCAACGTAGCCGAATTGGTTTTCGGCACTACCCTCCGACTCCCTGGTGAGATGGTCACCCCAACCTCTCGTGGTACCGAAGAGACCCCCGAAAATTTTGTGCATCGTCTGCGACAATTCATGCGCTCGCTGTCCCGGTTCCACCTCTAGCTCCATCGACCGAGTCTTGCGTTGAAAATGGCTTGGCCAACTGCGCCCATGTGTTCGTTCGTTGTGATCGTTTGCGGAAGCCTTTAGAATCACCATACGAAGGACCGTTCCCTGTCCTTGCACGTAACATCAAGACCTTTCGGATCCTGCGAGGTGACAAAGAGGACGTAGTCAGCATCGACCGGGTCAAGGCTGCTGTTGCAGAGGAGCCCCCGGACGTGTCTCAAGGACAAGCATGTGCTGACCCCATACCTCCTCCCACTCCTTTTCCACTTTCCCCACCTATCTATCCTTCCCGTATACTTCCTCTTCCTTCTTGTTCACAGCATCAAACTGCAACCTCTTCCTCCACCCTTAACTTGTCCACTACAGCACCTACTCAGCTGCCTCCAACAATGCCTCCCGCATATATAAACCGCAGTGGACGTCACGTTCACTTTCCCGAGCGTCTAGTTACTCATTTCTCCTAGACCTTTGTATGTCCTCCGGCGTCGTTCATGCCGCCCTCCGGTCTCGGAGGGGGGTACTGTGCTGAATTACTTGACTACTTGACCTTTGACAATCTTGTCACGTTGTTTTACTGTAGCATTTGTTTTAACGTGACGAATACTCCGCCGCTTGTAAGCTTCGCGCCGCTTGCGTGCTCTCTGGTCAGGTCGTTGCGCATTTTGAATATTAACTTTAATCACTTACTGGCCTTCCTTACGTCTCTCCGTTGATGAGGTTAGTAAGACGTAGTTCGTTAGTTAGCGGGAACGACATAACTTACGTCAAGCTCTTCATTGTGAAAGCGTAAAATGCACTTAATCGATCAGAAATTTAATTTAAAGTGGCCGTTATGTTGACCGGCCTCATGCTGATCGATTTTTTCCCTCCTTTCGCTGCCTCGGCCTCTCCGGAGATGATTGACGGGCGTTTTGCCTGTGTTCTTTGTGAGTCACCACTCCGTCGAGGGGAACTGATTGGACTTTAGTCGGGCGGTCGGTCTGGCTGTTCTTCTTCTTCTTCCTCACCGAGTAAACTCAGCGTCGGGTTATATCCGTGCGGCCTTCTTAAGTCCGGTGTGGTTATTTGGTCCTGAGCTCTACGATTGTGATGACGTAGGACTTTGTAAGCTACAGGAAGGTCCAGATGGCCGTTGATAGAGTGGGCATCGGAGAACCACGCCTCGAGAGTTAGCCGTTCTGTTTTTGTGTTGCCTCGGCCTAAGATGGTGGCCCCTTGGAGGTCAAAAGTATGCCCCGTTTCTCCAGCGTGTGTTGCTAGTTGAGAGTTAGGGTCTAACCTCCGAGTGGCCGATTTGTGTTCTTGCAGGCGAGTTTGCAACTTCCGCCCGGTTTCTCCCACATAGTTGCAGTCGCCCTCATCACAATCTATTTGTAGATGACTGCTGAGGATTCAGCGAGTGGCAATGGGTCCTTGGGTTGCATTAGGCGACGTCGAATTGTTGCTTGTGGTCGATGGGCTATGCCTACTCTGGTGGGTTTTAAAAGTTGCGAGACCCGTTCAGAGACCCCTTTAACGTACGTAATGGTCCTCCAGACTTCGCTTTGACAATGAAGAGCCGACCCAGCTCTTTGAAACGTCAGCACTTAAATAAACCTGTCTTCGTCTTCAAATAATCAACCCGGATATCTCAACTTTGCCAATCTGAACAGATACCATACTACCTGCGGCAGAATGTCGACGAAACACGCGTAACTGGGCTATTAGAGAGTACCTGTGCTGCTAGTACGGTATCTTGTAACCCTAAAAGTGGATATAATGGTTTCCTTACTTACATTCCTTTCCTTTATTTACATTTGCACTCCGGACGTTAAAGGTTGACAAAAACATTGTTATACTCACTGCCGACAAAGGACGATCGATGGTTGTGCTGAACAAAGAGGACTACATCAAAAAAGTCGATGAACTTTTGGGTGACAGAACTGCCTACATTCCTCGTGAAGGCGACACGATAAAGACGCTAATAAGCGAAATCAACAACGACCTAGCGAGTCTTCGGAAGTCAAAAGCAATAACACAGCTTGACTGGCTGAGGATGAAAGCAAAGGATTCAGCGGTCGCGAGATTCTATGGCCTACCCAAGGTCCATAAACCAGGAACCCTCCTACGGCCGATTGTTTCTTTAAGAGGCACCCCAACGTTTGTCCTGCCCAAGTGGCTGTTGCAGCGTCTGAAATTTTAACTCCGAGTTCTGAAACAAGCGTCCATTCTGCCGAAAGATTCATCGAAAAGCTGCAAGGTATTCGACTCACTGACGACGAAGTGATGGTTTCTTTCGACGTGATATCACTTTTCACCTCCATCCCACAGCATCTCGCGGTTGAAACCCTGCAAACCTTGTTGGAAGAACATTATAACGAGACAGACAAAAACTGACGATAAAACACCTTATTGATCTCCTGAGACACTGCTTGAAGACTTCCTTCAGCTTCAACGGAGCTGTGTGCGAACAAGTTAGAGGTACACCCATAGGGTCACCGTTATCCAGCTTGATTACTGAGGCAGTGTTACACTGGCTTTCGACCACTAACGGCCACGATTGTGGGTACAGTATGTCGATGACAAATTTTTCATCATCGATCGGGACAAGTTTGGGGAATTCATGCAGCACCTGAAATCGATCTTCCCAGACATCCATTTCACGATGGAGGAAGAAAAAGGGTGCCGCTTGCCGTTTCTTGACGTACTAGTTCAGCGAAAAGGTGATTGTGGACTAAAAACAACGGTTTACCGGAAGGAAACAAATACTTCCCGTATTTTAAGTTCTCTTAGCAATCACCCCCTTTATCACAAACGCAGCTGCGTGAGAACACTCTACCAGCGTGTAGAAACCCATTGCACTGAGCCATTCGACAAGAAGGCTGAGGTCCAGTTCCTGCGGAAACTCTTCACAGTGAAGGGATACCCTGGGAATTTTGTCGAAAGGTGCAGGCGAGAAACCTGGGGGAGAAAACCGAAGTGGCAACCAAAACCGAAATTCTGGCGCGCAGAGGCGTACATAGCCGGCGTGTCAGACGAATTCGCTAGACCGATGAGCGAATTTGGGATTGGTGTCGCTCACAGACCTGAAGCAACAATACGCCGGCAACTCATGCACCCTAAGAACCCGATTCCCATCATTCAGAAATCGGGGGTCATTTACCGGATAGACTGCAGTTGTGGTTAAGCCATTTATGTTGGTGAAATCGGAAAACAGGTACGCACGAGATTGCACGAACACGAGTTGGCTGTGAGACGGAAGGATAAACTCGCCTCGGTAGCCGCCCACGCCTCCTAGCCAGGACACGGTTCCGACTTTCAGTGCGTGAAAATATTAGGCCATTCAGACGACCGAGTTGCTCGCCTTCTGCAGGAAGCGTGGCAGTCAGGCGAGGACTCGACTAATCGACATATCGATCTGCCAATCGCCTATCAATCACTGCGTGAACAAATCAGCAACGCAGCTAGAGGTCACCCCCGGCATTGGTGAGCTAAATATACGATGAGTTGTACAGTTTTTTCATTCCTTGACGCTGGGCTCGCGTGAGAGCTCGAAACGTCCGATCGCCTTCCGGTCTTCTTCTACTCAATAACCTGGACCACGCGTGTTCTCTATCATTCGGAATACGTTACTTACTAAATTTCACAATCAGTCAAACGAAGGGTTACCTGGGACGCGCTTCTAAGCTGACTACAAAATTCTGGGGAACTCCCTATATGTGTAGTAGACTCTGCATGTCCGGACACTCACACTCCTCCTCTGGCGAAAATCTAGCGCATTGTGCACAGCCGGTCATGTGTCAAACGCGTAGACGGGATGTTTAGATTTATCAGCCGCTGTATCCGAGCCCATTTCCGGAAGGCGGGAATCCGAATTGTCAACGGAGATAGGGTAGTTTGGACGAAGGCACGGTAAATCCCGGTAACTGGTTTTACTCCTTACAAACAACATGACGCCCAGTTAACGGAAGTCCGTTCGATTCTGATTCTCATTTATTGACAAATCAAGCATGTTACTGGACATTTATGAAATACTTTTAAGGGCCAAAATGCATTTCTCGGAGAAAACAGTGTCCCAAGGACAATTCAAGGGCAAAGTTTCTGCCTGAGATGTGTACCAGTGCGTATCAAAATTATTACTGTAAAAAATTGACAAATTTGCGTTGTGTGTGTAGTAGAGTAACTTCACATCCATGTTAAGCCCAGGAAGGAATTTTGTTCATCTGGAACAACACCATTCCATAGGTCATGGTACATACAACAACGATAAGCTGCGTGACTATGTTTAAGATGATTCCCGCCTTCGCCTACAACGAAAATATGCAAAGTAATGCAAACAGATACCAGGCAAACGTATCAGATAAAAATACCAGGAGCGTAGTATATATGTATATTTCATCATTTTTCTGTTATTTCCGATCTTGCAGTTGCTCATAAGTCCCGAAATTAACTTCTATGCATTTAAGCAGCCCATGACCTATCTACAAGTCCATTTAACTGCCCTTATTCGTGGGATGCATAAGAAAAAATCATTTCATACAACGCGTAAGAAAAGAGACCCATTTGGAAGCAGATAAGCTCAATGTTGCAGTGCGTACCATGTCAAGGAGTTTGACCCGGCCCTTGGAGTAGACGATTGCATTTGGCGGAGTGGCCGCGGGCAAAATGAATGCGAGCGAAGTTGCTACGGTCAGCGGAAGACTCAGTAGAAACGGATGAACATTGATCGACTTGGCCTAAAATAAAAGTATATTCATAGTTAAGTTATTTGTAGGCAAAAATTCGGTTAAGAGTGGGGAGTAAAAAAATCATGCTTTCCTAGTCCTTTGCTGCTCGATCAAATTCTGATCAATTACAGGAAGTATTAGCAGAAATCACTGCCGGCATGAAATCAACTGCAAATTTCTGGATATCTGTAATAGCCCCAGATGGACAACCGCCATCTGCAAACTCCCTGCGTGAATGTCTATTTGGATTAATCCCCTACCACCTCAGCCGTATTCGTTGCAATGATAATGCTTCTTTCCACACATAATATGGAAAACATACGACATTTGAGCAGCATTTGGGAAAATACGTTTTTGGACTTACCAAGTCAAACATGATGGGAACCAAGATTGTAACCGTGGCGGAGTTGGAAACTACTTCGGTCAGGGTAGCTCCAAAGAACGTAATCAGGTAGACAAGACCGAATGGTTGGACTGATCGGACAAATTCCAGGGTTCCACTTATAACTTTTGACAGACCACCGACCTAGGGGAGCAAAAAACAAAAAAGGTCTGTCGGTCGGTGAGTGCGGAGAGAGAGAGAGGGCTGATGGTAGCTGGTCAGCACTGCTACGCAGTCATCCGGACGGCAGTGCAGGAGTCTGTGGCGAGAGTCTATCCCATATGCTTCAGAGAGATTAGTATTAGTCTTGCATAAGAACCCACATTATTTCAGTCACAAGTGAGAAAGACATCCCGACTGCCTGCAAAAACCTCATACGTTTGCTGCAAAACTGACGGAATGTTTGTACAGAAACAAAGATTTTTAACCCGATTAACAGACGCTTACTGCTCATCAACCGATCAGTCTGCATGGTGATGGACAGAGCGAGAGCTAAGAAATTAGCGCCTAGAGCAGTCAGTCATGAGTATTGTTCATGTAAGTGAGTAGAGCTAAATGCTCAAACAATCAGCCCCGGCATGCGATTTACAAATCGGAAATAAGAAATATTCGGCGATATCGGAGTTTTTAGGTTTGTGGTTATTGGTAATTCGGTCTCCTACTGCCAAAATGTCTGCATGTCATTGCACTTATTGAAAACGCATTTGTATGTTGCGTAAGCACGATACGATACTCGGCCACAAAGTTGATGAGAATTATTCGGGGGGCGAAGCTCCAGAGAGGTCAGTATCAGTCCTACATAAGAACCCAGATTATCTCGGTCACAAGTGAGAAAGACATCCCAACCGCCTGTGAAAATCTCATATGTTGGCTGCAAAACTGACGGAACGTTTGTATAGGAGCTAAAATTGTTAACCCGATTAACAGACGCTTACTGATCATCAGCCGAACAGTCTGCATCGTGACGGACAGAGCGAGAGCTAAGAAATTAGCGCCTAGAGCAGTCATTCATGAGTATTGCTCAGCTAATTGGGTAGAGCTAAAAGCTCAATCGGAAATGGTAAGGGTCGGGTGAAGGCCCCCAAGCATCAGTGGCGTACAAAGAATACCTTCTATACTTATTTACGTGGGTTTTAATCCGACATGATTATTTTGGTTTGGTGTTTCATCGTACAAGGTTGGGTCGTCTGTTGTAGACAGTCTGGTACATTATCTACAATGACCTCAGTTCAGAGAGTTGAGAAGCGATTTTTGTAGACACTTAATGTTTATTTTTTAAGTGTCCTGCTTAATTTCGATTGCCATTTGCCAATGCATTAAAACTGTCCCGTCCGAAAAACAAATTTACCAATTATCTATACTTATTTTGCCATTCCTTTATGTATACATATGCCCCGCCCGTAAAACCCCTATCACCGCCTTTTCCCGTAAGACAGGCACCTTTGGCTGGTCATGTGTGTTTGGGGTCCTTCACCCGATCGTCGCCTCGGAAATTAGAAAATCGGAAATAAGAAATATTCGACGATATCGGCGTTTTTAGGCTTGAGGTTATTGGCGCTTTGGTCTCCTAGTGCCAACATGTCCGTATGTCATTGCAGTTATTAAAACCGAATTTGCATGTTGCGTAAGCACGACATGATACTTGGTCACAATGTTGATGAGAATTATTCCGTGGGCGAAACTCATATGCCTACTTTCCTGGGACGGTTGGTGACAAAACATGGTCACAGAATAAACTTATACATGCTTCACTGTTTCGAAATGGGAATTTCTGCAAAGCAACATCCTTCTATTGGCTAAAGGACATGATAGAAGAAGTACTTGCAAATTCGCGATTACAGACTACCTTTAAAGCACCAAAGCATCTTCCTTAAGTAATTCGTGAGTCTAGAAAAGGGTTTCAAATCTGTAAGGTTCTAGGAGAAGGTGGGATTTAACCCTGACTGCGCTGATGGAGAAAATTGTGACTAAATCGACAGTCGTTCTCCATTTCGGACGTCATCAGGATTCGTACTGGATTCGTACTGAAGCGTTCGGCTGCTTCAAAACAAAGCCAACGCTGCGCTTTGTGCAAGAAATCTCACAAGAAAGTGGTCATTTGAACCGAAGGCTGAGTAGTTTTTCAAGACAACTTACTGAAGCAATTTTAGACAGTGCGAATCCTCCTCCCATGAGAATAAGGACACCCCAACAGGTGCGGCTCTGAGCCTGATTCCAGGTTAAGATGCTGCGGTTTATTCGTTTGCGGGCCTTCTTATCTGTAAAAAATGTCAAAATAGAATCAAGGAGTCTCATCGTTTTTTTCAATGTCTTCTCGGCATTAAAAACTGAGTAGGCGTAGGTAGCATGGATTGGTTGATGTTTATGATGGTTGAGCAATCGATCTCGTCGTCTGATAGCTAAACAAATGCCGGAGTGAAAATACCAAGCTAGGAAAGTGACTACCTTCCTCACTACAGACGGGTTTGAATGCCTGCTTGTGAGTAGAAGCACGCTGCGCCGCATCCGACCAGCCCGAAGCTGCGACATAAACTTACTCCCGAGAGTTCACAGGAACCAAGAAGTGTCCACAAGTATTCTTAATAAGGGACGGAATATTTTACAGAAACCTGGGCCACGCTGCAGCATTGAATATGGTAACGGCGTCTCTGTAGCTTTTGCTAGACCCGCAGCACAACTCGGAGCAACGTTCGTTCAAGCGAATGATCCGAATGATCCCACCTTTAACAAGGAGAATGTAGACGATGTCCGTCAACTCCAATGCAACCCAAAGCGGTCGGACGTTGTAGACAGCAAATATTCTGCGACTCAAGAGGACGATCATATGCAAAGGCGGCGGCACGAGTTGGGATTGTTCAGTTAAGCAAACCGGAGTGGCGGAGGAAGAACCACTTCACTCCACTATCGACTAGACTTATGACACTTTCTCAAAACCACTTTTGGGGATGCCGCATTTGTGACTGTCAGTCTTATTCACCTGCCAACTCCTGATTAATAGCGAGGAAGGACGACCGAGAATGCGGGTAGATTGACGCAGTACTGTTTCGGGCTTATTCTGCCTTCATTCAGCCAATCATAACCCTGACCAACAGTTGAGACCAGAAACAAAAACACGCGCACAGCCGCACCTGGCGCAGTTGGTCCACCACTGGGGTGTACCAGATGGGTCATATGCACTTTATCGAACAGAAGTTCATCAGCGCCTCGCCACCTGTCATTCTCTGTCGCTGCAGATCGGGTATTTATTCAATCAGCAATGGGCGCACACCGATCTATTGGCTTCACGAAGCAAACAAGCTCCGTATGGGTTGAAAAGGTCACGAAGAGGCAACCAATTACCAGGCCGAAGTCGGCCAAGGTAATAATCCCGAAACAGTACTGTATCAATCTGCCCGCATTCTCTGTCGTCCCTCCTCGCTGCTATTATGACTTGACCGACTTCGGCCTGGTAAATGGTTGCATGTTCGTGACCTTTGCCACACATACGCAGCTTGTTTTCTTCGTGAAGGCAATAGATCGGTGTGCGCCCATTCCTGATTGAACACCTGATTAGTCCTACTTAACCTTCGGTTGGCTGGTCTGCGGTAGAGGAGATTCCAGAGCACAGTTATTTGGCGCCCCTTCTGTGCGCAGATATATTAGCTTTGATTCGGAGGTCCTCACTAGCGTACTCTCAACGCGACTTGACAAAGTACACCGAGGGATCACGCTCCTCCTTCCATGTCCAGCTTTGAACGCAACCCTGCATGCTATTTGCAATCCTACATGTATGGCCTTCTACTCTCATAGTGGCAGGAGATCCTGCTTACCCGAATTGACGAAGACTGGCACACGTGCCCTATTGGCTAAAGGAAGTCCTGCGCAATGCCCTACTCAGTCCTCCAGCATGGAGACAGAGTGATGTCTGCCAATGATGCGGCTTCCGCAGGCTGGTTGGACTTGGCGCGAATGACTCAGAAGCTCGCTCATACCTTGAGAGACCTCTCACAGCAGCGATAGGTGGCTCTTGGCCTAGCTAAACCACTACTACACAAAAAGCTGCCTGCCAAAAATCTGTCCCCCCTGCCACTGGATGTGGAAAAATTATTATTTTGGACAACCGCGATCAGAACCTGGACAATTTTATGCATCAGAACAAGGAAAACAGAGAGAGAGAGAGAGAGAGAGAGAGAGAGAGAGAGAGAGAGAGAGAGAGAGAGAGAGAGAGAGAGAGAGATAAGTGAACTCTGACAGTCGGACGTCTGCCAAAATGTTCGCTGAATTGACATACCTGCCGATCAAGAATTCGGTCACCGACACTTAGCAACAATTTCGGACCAAATAGAGGTTAGCATGAATGGTTCATACATGACTACCACATTTCTCCATGTATTATCTTGGTTGGCGCGCTGAGCACCGTAGCTTACGTCCAGACACATTTTAACTTACGTTTCACGTCTGATTCGGGCTATGGGATGGCGTTTTGTGTTCGGTCTGGGTGCCGTTGATGTTCATCTTCGAAAAGGACTTAGAATGGAAATTGCTCACGGCCAACTAGGCATTTTAGCACATCTCCCAGCCTCAAGAAGGAGGCCAACCAAATTCTCTAAAAGCCATCACTTGCCTGTTTCAGCTGGATCAGCACGAAGACGGAAGGGGTTTGAGGCGGGGACAATGAAAGCCAAAATGGCAAAGAGGATGGTTGGTTGAGTGTCGTCCACGTACCTTCAAGGAAATAGCAACATTTATTAAAATGTGATAACTTTTCCCCGGCTAAATCAAACATTTGATGTCACAGCAACGTGGGGTCGCCCACTCTGACTAAACCATAGCAATGATCCTGGGTGGCACATTGAGTTTGGAATCCCAGCTTAGAGTGGACTCAGGAGGTCGCTTGACGAGGACTAACTAGTAATAAAAAATAGGTCTAATGATGGTTTAGTGTTTACTTTCCGCCACTGACCCAAACCTTGACCCCAAATTTGAACCCGCTTCAGTTGCCCGGTCAGAACGGCGGTCTGACAGGCGAGCGGCGACTGCGATCAGGAATAATGACAACTTCGGGTGGGTTGCATTCACCGAACTGGTCTGTTATCAGGATAGGCCAGGGACCGTCTGATTGGCCAGTCTGGACGTGGGGGTACTGGCAACTGTCACTTATAGATAAGTTCCGCAAATGTTCCCATGTTACACTTGAAAATTCAAGTTGGTAAACACGTGTTTTCGGTAAGTCTTCGTCAGGCCAATGTAATTACATGAAGGAATGAAAATGTACAAAATCAACAGTGTTTATAGATGTCTCAAGGGCTATTAAGTCATTAACACTCATCATCCCCACGCCGCCTGCATGACAAGGTCGGTGGGTGTTGGTCCTCAGAGCTAGGGGAGGGGGGTAAGAGAGTCTTTGAATGATGTTCTTGGGTTGAGTACACGGAGTACCCATCACTGTATTTAGGGATTTGAGGCGGCATGTCGTCATCACTTGGGGTTGGCGTTGGCCACCGCAAAGAGAGCGCTTGTGTCAGGGTTTTCTGACAGTATAACCGTATAGCTACTGCCTCGGCCGTTGCTAGTATCCGTTGGCGTAGGCCTTTAGAGAAGCATGTTGGTGTCCGGTAGACAACCTGAAATGCTTCCTTGGTATCGACTCGGTGATTCGTATCGATTAAATGTTCAAGACTAGAACTCGAAATGGACCGGGTCTCATCTCTGTCTAGCCAGGTGGGCATATGTTCACGCACCCTCTTTACCAGGCGTCTCGTTGTGCGGCTGATGTATCCTGCTATACAGGAGCAAGTGAATGAATAAATGCACATTGATGTGGCCTCCAACGGTAGTCTGTCTTTACCCCCCAAACGTAGGAGGTGAGAGTTTGTGAAGCATACGCGTAAATTCGCCGCGGGGAATGCCCTCGTGATAGCTGTAGTTATGCGTCGTCTGACTAGTTCGCTCTCTGCGTCTCCTGCAAAAGGCAATCTTATGAATACACCTTTCTTTTCCGCAGTGGCAACAGTGGGCTTTTTGGCGCGTTCTCCAGTATAGATAAAACTGATATTTTCAACTGACATCCCTGTGCGTAAAGCAGACTTGGAAGCAGACTGCATATGGGGGGATGAACCGTACCTACGCAAATAACGATGCCATGTGGTAAATCCCAGTTCTTTAAACCCCACGCCAATTTTTGCCCTACTGTTCTTTTCCTTTATGCAATCGTGTATAGAGATGCCTCCACATCATTGCAGGGCCTGTGTCCACTGAACGAGGGCCTTGTAATTTCCCAACTGGATTCGAGAGAACATTTAAGCTGCTGTGCATTGACCAGTCTCTATTCATATTATGGAGTAACATGCCACAGTTTATGAGGGAACGCAAAGCATATAGATACGAAGATTTCTGTCGCATATGCTTTTTTAAATATACAACTGGAATAAAAATGCCTTGGGGCTCTTGTATTCGTCTGTGCTATTGTGCAAATAAAAGACTGATTGAGCGGGGGTAAAATGAGCGTACCTCACGACTTTTCCATTTGAATCGTTGCCAACTGGCATGAAACGCGACCATCCGGGCACACCGGGTTCCCTTGTAATCCACAAGCCAATCAGCAATAGGAATAAGATCGTGCAGGCTATTTCACCAAACCTAGAACAGAAATGACCACTGTAAGTTGATTGGGCAACACGAATGAATGTAACACGGGCTGAAGGCGGGTGCCAAACATCAAGCAACACATGAAAACTACTTTAACATGATGTTGGCCACCTAGCTTTAGTCACTCATTCACCCTGATTACTTACTTCATGGGACCTAGGACTCGCCGTTCTTCTTCGGAAATTTTTTTAACGATAGCGACAATGTCGAATGAGATTTCTTCATTGTCTTCCTGCTCGGCGGCGCGTTCTAGTTCTTCCAGCTTGTCGGTGCTTTTTGCCGAGGCTGGATCTTCATAGAATTCCTCCTGGAAGTCATCCAAAGGGTTGCTCTTTTTAGATCGACCGCATTTGAAGAAGGCCCTTTATGAGACAGAAGTAAGTTTGATCTTGAAACTCTAAAAATGTATGTTGATTTTCAGTTCTTCACTGGACTTTGCCTAGTCTGTAGACTTACTTGGGTCCGAGGAACAGTAGGCATATGGTAATCCAAGTAGAAATTAGGCAGAGCAGAGACATGGGGAATCCGTAAGCCATCCACGATCCGAAGTTTAGCGGAATCTCACTTCCATATCGGCTGAAATCAGGAAAGGAATGACGTCATCTCGTCAAACAACGTCATATCATAATTTATACCTCTTCCTATAAAGCATCAACCCCACTGTACCCCAACCAAACACTAGCAGCACTCAACTCTGTCGTTCCAAACGGGTAAAAAGCGGAGACTCCCGAGGCACCAAAGTCTTCTTACCTGACTGCAAGACCATAAAAGATGATATTCGGCGGAGAACCTATCAAGGTAGCGATCCCACCGCAACTGGCAGCGTAACAGACAGACAAGCTGATTCCTGTCGCAAAGCGTCTCAGACGCTTCCGGCCTTTGCTCTCATCGCTAAAATCAAAATGGAGTCATTTTACTCTTGTCACGCGATTTCAGATTATTTCAAAAGTCAGAGGTAATTCGAGGCATACCCATTTGCCTCTTTTGGGTCTGTTCCTTCTGGTGGAGCTGTATGGGGAAGAAAATAGACTTATAGATCTGGGCCTATTCTCCAGTAAGGAACAAAGATAACTTATTTTGCAGTGACTGTTGTCAGCATTTAACAATGCTACTTACCTGCAGTGACATCGTCGAGTTTTGTTAGTAGCGCCTCCACAATGGTAACCATCATCACCGTTGTGGCCGTATTGCTCATCCACATTGAGAGGAACCAGGTTGGAAGCATCACACTCAGTATCAGCCTAGAAGTGGGGAAATAGTGGGAACCTCATCAATGGTACATCAAGAGTCATTTGGATGAGCGCAGTTTGGTAGCAAATGTGACACAACCCCTCCTTAATATCCCACATGTTAAAGACCCTTCAGCCTCGAAAGGAAGCTGAAAACTGCTCAACTAATTGCAACAGAGCGCGTATAGCCTGTCCTAAAATGGTCTTTTTTCACAAAGGTAGGCCTCTGTTATTTTCTTCACTGATGTCCACTGAATGGCTAGGCTATTTCGTTTGAGGCGCCGGCTCACCAGTTTATACGCCAGTTAGGTATTTGTGTAAAAGAGACATATAGCTGCAAGGTCTACTAAAATTAAGCAACCTCGAAATCGAGCATGCAAAGTTGCTTAGGGTCGAATTGTTTACCTAGACGTTTTCTTGACTCCTCCAGAACAGCTTTCGTCGCGTAAGTATTTAACTTGGGACAGTGGGTGCCATAGGTGACCCTTAGGTGGCTGCCAACAAATAGACCAGTCGGTAAATTGGTCAACGATGTCTTTACTCGGAACTATGAAGGCAAATCTGCCCGATGCTGGTCACTTGGCAATGAGTGGACAGAAAATCTAGGTTAAGTTTTAAATTCCAGGCATTAATTTTAATTTGTGAATCCGTGAAATTGCGGCGCAAATTTACTGTAGAGTTCGGGATCGTATGTTTCTCATTTGCAAACTGATAATGCAGATCTTTACTCAGTAAAATGTCTAGTATCTTGGTCAAGTATTTCCTGTGGACCAATGAGTGTGGCGGCACACCTAGGCGCGGACCCGGCCGCGCCAGCCACCCGCGCACACTCCCGATTCGGCCTTCTGGACAGTGTCTTGACACCGGTCTCAGGTGTGGGAGGGGAAGGTGCGACAGGCACAACGGAAGTCCGCTATCACCATGAAAGAAAGCACGTGCAAGTCACCGTGCCTGCTCTCACCTTGCTGTGAAGCCCGCGGTGGACATCGTCGGCAAAGACGGTCCCACTGTCAAAATGCTAAGTAAACGGAGCCTCGCCAGGGTTCTTTCCCTTAATTCTCTCCTATTCGCTCATAGTGCAGGGCTTGTTTTAGCGTAGGTTATTTGCGACTAAACCGACCTGCATACTGCTTGTTCGGTCATGGGTCAACCACTTTCCTCGTCGATATGTGGAGCGGTGTGATTAGGCAGCATATGTTGCCTGCTGACAGTTTGTGTGCGTTCACGCATGTCCTTAGGAGTCTGTGAACACAAAGGTCCTGCAACCTGGACTTATATGACCAGGATACATGTGCGTGTGACCCACCACCTTTCCAATCATGCATAGTAATGCATCGTTATTTGACAATGCTACTCAAAGGAATCAAGTAGCGTTTTAATAACGAATCTTTTCACTGTTCGTGTACAGTTATTTCTACCGAGCTGACACGTAATCAATAGGGTTTTCAAAGGCTTTGCCTATTATCCTTACAAATTAAACTGAACTGACCCTTTCATTATGATCTCTACCCATAGGCGACAGTATTTGTGCTGCAAACTCGTCCCTCATGGAAGTTTGTGTGTCGTCTGCCGGCATGCACACATCTACAATCACATTCGGCACCTATAGAAAGTATCACTGATATTTCTTTGTTGGCATCCCACAGCTACCGTTAACGCTACCCCAGGACTTATCGTCATTATTGGAAACGGCCTGGTAGGAAAATCAATTCCTCACCGAAACTTATCGTTTGCTCTTTTATCGTCTGTGTCCGTCAGAAGAAAGTTTGTTCTCATATATAACTTATTGATTAACACAGTGCCGGTGATATTATGACAAGCACGTTTAAGGCTGACAGGACGTTGCCAAGACAAGAGTAACGCCAAAAATCCATGGCGGTGCTATTCGATCATAATAAACAACGACTGCATCCAATAGATGCTGCAGTCCCTTGTGCATGAACCACCTGTATCTGCTATTGTCTCTGATGATGGGCTTAAGTAGGAATCCGAAACGTCAAGCGAATAAAGCTCTTGTTCCAGCGAACGTGTCTCCTTCTTCAAAACAACAAACATTTCAGTCAATAGAAGCAGAGAAGTGGATTCTAGGAGGCAACCGCAAAGAAGGAGACATGATCATTGGAACAACAGCTTTATTCGCCTGAAATTTCGTATTTCTGCTCGAATCCATCATCAGAGGTGATAGGAGATACGGGTGTTTAATGCGGAAGGGGTTGCAGTATTTATAAGATGCAGTCGCCATGTTATCGCATACCTATGGAAATTCCCGGTTACCCCCCCCCCCCACCCCAGCAGGGATTGTTTCACTTGATGAAATTGCCGACTCGAATGTCGGCCGCTGAACAGTAATCCCACCAAGTTCAACAACCCCTGATAAAGGGGGAGAGGGTTAGCCGTGAATTTTCTTAGGTATGCGGTAGCATGGTGACTGCATTCTATAAATACCGCAGCCCCATGTGGATGAACTACGCGTGTCTGATGTTGTCTCTGATGATGGGTTTGAGCAGAAAGTCGGACGAATAAAGTTTTTGTTCACCGACCATGCCAACTTCCTAACAAAGACACTCAGTAATTTAATGTCCTTCACAATGCATGACCTCTTAGGGGAATCAATTAAAACACGGTCCGGTCTCTCAACGTTTTCCAGATGTAAACGGACAATGTTACCTTCACCGGCGAATTCACACTAATGCAAAGGGTGCAAAAGTTTACTTAACGCTTGATTTTAACAACATCTCCTACTCATGAACTTACAATCGCGGATCGTGACCCATCCAGCGCACGAAAGCGACGGCGATTCGTCGATGCAAGTTCATGTTTTCCGCCGCGATAGCCAGGAGCATACCGCCCAGGAACAGAAAAGTGGAGCTCTGTTTTGTTTGCGTTGACAAAACAACATGTGTTTGTGGAGATGTTGCATGAAGAAGAGAATAGAACAAGAAGTCAAATGTAGCAACGACTTCGGGGAATAGTTTTGGCATATTTTGGATTATAAACGGCTCATTTTGGTGCTAACTTACCGAAGAATATTCCTTGGTTATGACGGCGCTGGGAATCAGTCCCATCAATGGCCCGAGGACGAGGGGAAGGAGTGCGGTCACGTAGAGGGGTATGAAACCGCTCACCCAGAAACCGCTCATTAAGAGCAGAATATACGCTGCCTTCGACTCCTATATGGAAGTCACAAAGATAAGATAGGCAACACACAGAGTGCTGAGGTGATCTCGCAAAAGAAAAACGTCAAATCGCAAGTGCAGTGGAAATATGCATAAATTACACTAGAAGAGCACTTTTATTTGCCAGTCTTTCAGAAATGGGTCACACAGAGTGACATTTTCATCTCCTAATTTACTAAGTCATTTTTGGCGCTTGATTTATAAGGGCGGCTTCCAAGCTAGTAAAAACCTGAATGAAGAAATCTCGACGGATGAATTGAGCGGTTTCCTGAGTAAGTCGTGTTAGAAACCAGGAATGCCTATCACACTTTATCATTTCAGCTGAAAACCATCCATCGATTGGCAATATTGAATTGGCGCCAACTTGGCCGCAAAGGAGTTTCACGGCTAACAGATATATGGCCTTCGAAACAAAAAGGCGCATAAAATGCTTTACTTTTTTATTTTAAGTACGCTAGTCAAATAAGCTTCACTGTCGATCGTGTGGGAGTGGAGTGGATTGATCTGCCTGGTCGTAGGATGGAACTCGAAGGATTCCGTTCCGTCCAGCAGACATGTGCTAGAACCGTCACGGACATTACCATAATTTACGATGTTGGCCCTCTCTGCTCATTGTTGTGGTATGGCTGGCCGGAATTTATTCTTTTAGCTTCCCCAAATTTGTTATTAACATTGCTCGATTAAAAGTTGCTGGTGATCGTACGGCCATCTGCACGCGATTTAAAGCGGATATTCAGCGCAAAGACAACTGTTCGCGCTCCTTTCTGCAAGTAGTATGGATGGATAAACGCAATGTTCATGAAATTTGCGGTTCCGATAGTGGTCGGAAGAGCGGCGAGCACGTGTATCCCCGGTAGAGTGTTTAATTTAATAGTGACTCAGCACGTTTGAGTTCTAGCCCTATGTCTTCGATCTATGCCTGGAGTCTTGCTGGGTAGTGAAGAGAAATATGCCCATATTGGTGTTTCTACAAACCTTTGGTTTGTCTTTTAAAACTGTATGTCATCGAAAAACTGCATTTATAAAGCCTACACAGTAAAGGATGAAACATGTACGTAGTAAAATACAGACTTTGAAAATGAACCGTGGGGAACTTCTTCATTCGGAGCGCTACTTAGTGGTCGGATATCTAAATAATCTCGATGATGCAATTATTATAAAATTACACAGTAATGTTTCAGATATCATCATAAATGGGCTTATATGCCTTGTTGTTTACGATTTCTTATGAGGCGTTTCCCCAATGAAGGGTTATTTGAAGTTCTCCCATAAGATACCTTCTTATTGGTTAACGTCTATAACTGGATTAGTCGTATTTGAGACGGATTCCAAACACCATTATTCACACTCACACCGAATTTTATCTTCAAAATATAAAGATCGTAGGACAATAACTATTTATGAACAGTATTTTGGGTGCCTACATCCACTCTTCTCAACCAGATTCACGTCCTTATTAAGAGTTAGTTTAAGATACCATTTACGCAAATGCTGGCAGTTGTCCGATGAATACACTAGGTTACCCGGCATGTTCGACGTATTTTAAAAAATAAACAGCAGATAGTCTCAATATCAGACTGCCTAATATCGACGGTGGATTTACTGGGCTTCGGAAGATTCATCTGCAATAGAGTATGCGGAATTCAACTAGGCCTTTTAGAACCATTTGGAACTCCTTATATGTTATAAAGTCTCTTATCTCGGCATCTTTCCCCTTGAATTTGACATTTCTGATTGTTGTTCTGTTTGGTTATTGTAAAGAACTTTATTAGTAACGTCGTGTGATTAACTACAAATCAATTTCTGAATAAATATCAGTAATTATTCTGCCTGCGCAATCTGCCACAACTGCAAATTAACGAGAAAAAGCCAAGGAACCAAGTCTAGGCGAGTAAACAGCATTTCATAGTAAGACCAAAAGCTTTGTGTGACATGCCAAGTAAATTGTGAAAGATGAAAAATGATAAGTCTTTTTTAGAAACTCACCGTTCCGGGATGTAAGATGAGGATTGGCGACAGGATAATGGGGTAAATTATTATAAATATGTAGCGCAGGTAGATGTGGAGGATGGTGAGCCACCGAGGAATTTCGAGGTGAGCCATTTTCTGAACTGAACTGAAATAAAGCCAAAAGTCAGTCCTCCTGCAACCGCTCATAAAAAAGGATGAAACAACTCTACGCGTTTCATGCTCATTAATTTTTATAATTTTGTAATTTTATTTTACGATATTTTGTGCATTTGAGTGCTGTGTGAACCGTTTTTGGAGTGAATAACAATATGGAAAGCAGTTTAATACACTGAGAAAATAGGGCTTGACGGAACCTACTGTATTTCAAATACGTGTTAAGTTACTACGGCTTTGATAGTGGCAACAGAATCTTAATTTCTTGTTTTTGTACTTATAATAACACCAAAGTCAGTGGCTGGTAGTGCGGCACTGGTGTTCGGAGTAGAGAAGTAATGGTAGTAACAGCAATGATATAAATAGGAGTAATCTCAATCATAGTATGCACTAAAATAAGGCAAAAACCGAGTCCTTCTGCCTCTGACTTATGCGCTTTGTGTTCAATAATTTTATAATTTTTTTTATTTTAGGCTTTTCTGGGAATTTGAGCGCTATGTAAACCATATGTGGAGTGAGTACTGATTTAAAAAACATATTGAGAGATTGAGAAAATAAGGCATGACTGAACCTACTTTATTTCCAATACGTGATAGGTTACTATGGCTTTGATAGTGACAACACAATCTTATTTTCTTGGCGCGTGTAGTAGTGATTTTTGTAGTTGCAGTACCACCAAAGTTAGTAGCTGGTAGTACGGCACTGATGTTCAAAGAAGAGAGGTAATGTTTGTAACAGTAATGAGGGTAATAATGCTTCCCTTAGTAATATTAATATTAAGCGCAGCTGCACTTGCGTAACCTGCAGTATCAAGAGTATAAGTAGTGGTGACAACAGTATAAATGGGATTAATCTCTATATTAGTATTAATAGTACATTTAGGTGATGCCGTAAGTGACGAACAGTTTGCTCATATTTTTGAATTCTCGATTATTGGTGAGCAGAGGAGTTTCGTTTGTGTAGAGCTGGAACTGTAGGACTGAAGCTCCCCCATAAAACGTCCAAAAGCCAGAACTACCTACATATAGATGGACAGCGAACCTCCTGCTTCGGAAAATAATTTTACTTAACTTTACATTCCTATCTACTTTACGCTCGACGTTAGATATTCTTTAAACCCCACTGTTTGCTGTAATAAAACCGTTTAATGAAACATAGGCGTCCTAGAAGTCTCAGATGCATAAGTAAAATTCTGACTTCTAAATTGTAAACGTTGCTTATCAAAAAGGGTCAGCAGTTGTTGGATCAGTTAAAGTTACGTTATGTTAAAGCCTAGTGAAAACTCAAATTCCGCAATATTGGCAAAAAGTGTACAGCAGAATTAGTAACATATCGGAAGACGCGGATGCCAATTAAATTATAATAAAGGCTAGAAGTAGTAGCATACTTCAACGACTTAACTTCCATAAGTTAGATTAACAATTCCACAAAAAGTTACTGGCATTGTTTCATTATTAATAAGGAGATTAAGTGCAAGTGCGCACAAATTAAATCCACGGTGGTTCGTCAGATATAGAGCCATGTAATGCTCTCTGCTTAATTACGTTGGGATCAGTAATTTTGAAAACCTGCGGACTTACGCTTATTAAGTACAGTAGCCAAACTCTCAACTGTCTGATCTTCCGGAGAAACCTTTACGTATATTTATACATTGACATGAGGAAACAAATAAGAGGGCTACAATTACAACGCCCACTTAGAATCATTGTCATTCGACGACTCATAGCTACTTTACATGATCTGCGTGCTTCCTAAATCGTATAACAAGCAGGTAAATCGCACCCTTCTGAATTCAACACGTTACGTTCCCTTTTTTAATTGGACAATGCTCACTGGGATGCTAGAGGCCGGTTCTGACGGCACAAAGTCCACATTCAACCAATCCCAAACTATATAAATAAAACGACCCATATATATTGAACTTGTTTTGATTGTGCCACTGACAAACACGGGTGACTATTTGACGGAGTGTTTTTCGTCATTCGAAAGCTGACGACCTTGTAAAGACAGCTCTATCCAAGTGATGAAAACGGAAAAAATGCGTACTGACACCGGTAGGCGCTTAGTGCTTTGGACTTCTTTGTGCAACCCCCAGGAAGAGGGAACAGCTTTTAGTGTGCATTAGAATGTGAACAGATATATCCTGGCGTGATAAAAATAACGTTTATATCTCGTGAAATTGTTCTCAGGCGTGGAAGAACTTATGAAACGTGCTGAGGCGGAGAGGTAATTGACAGGCGACCGTGAGTCGCCAGTGTAAGAAGTGGTTGAGTGTTAACTAGATGGATAAGAACTACCAAGGCAAAACCTGGTTTACAGCACAAAGCGATTGTGTGCAGAAGTCGGACTCGGGCTACTGTATGCAAGATGTCTCCAGTTTCAGAAGTACGCCAGCTGTTTGCACATTGGAAAGCATTCGGAGTGCTAGTTTTAGGCACGGGGATCTCGCGTCATATAGTAGGCGTAAAGCGTGCAGTAACCAGAAGAGGAGAGAGAGAGTTTTGTTAGTTCATTCAGTAGAGTTACGTAGTCTCAGCTTGATT